GCAGCGTTCGGTGTTAATCTGTAGAATGTTAATGTTTCTAAGATCCATCAGGCCAATGATATGAATATGATTGATCAATGTGACTTATGCTGCTAAAGTAGGTACAATACGGTTACGTTCCATAGTTTGTTTTACTGACGGTTTGTGCCTTTATCTTCTGTAGGAGTGTACATTCCCTGCTAAACGCATTGTGATCTGTTGCTTTCCTTTTTTCCATTGGGACTTCCCTATTTGCCTTCCTACAGTTTATGCACATTGGTGTTTTGTCTCACCGTTTACACTCGGAATATCTGTGGTTTTTGCCACAGTGGCTGCATTTCTGCTCTTCTGTACAATCCCGGGCATAGTGATTGAAGCTGCAGCATTGATAGCAGCGCAGTACCGGTATGAAATCATCGATATTTACGTTTGCCCAGGAAAGCGATATACGTTTATTTGCTATAAGGGTGTTTCTAATTCTGGGGGATACCGACAAAACAATGTGCCGGCAATTTTCCCATTTTTAAGGACAGTGCTGATCGTGCATTCCGCAGTTATTTCTTCCTTATCAAGGTCTCTCCATATATCGTTTTGACTTATCATTGCTTCCAAGATTTTTTCTTCTTGTATTGAGTTCGGTACATTTAGCAGGATGACTCTGGGTTTTTTCCCCTCTGAGGTCCTACAGTTTATCCTCTTTTCGATTCCTGGAAGATTTTCAATCGCTTCCTTGAGCTTTTGGCAATCCTTTTTGTTTCCTACTCTTACACAAACTCCGTCATTCTTGACAGGCCATACCAGTTTAACGTGTATACCAAGCTGATGGGGTTCCAAAGTGTTGAGGATTTCTGTTGTCATCTCTTTCATGTTAACTCTCGGGCCCTCCCCTGGGGGCTTGGGGTATAGTAGCACTGCATGATTCCCTCCAGGGCCGTCCATATGAAGTTTTGAGTTCAATGATTTGCTTATGACCCTTGTGGTGTGGCTCGGTTTGTCCACTTTAACCATATCTGAATATAGTAGTTTAGATTCTGTTTTATCATTGATCAGCTTCTTTCCTGAGCGAAGCTCTCTGATAATACCATATGCCTGATTGAGGCAACTGAATAGACAAGATATACTGTTTCTTATTTCCCATCGTTGTTTCTTTTTTACGGCACCAATAGCACGTTCTGGGCAGGCATCCATTACCCGGCCAAGAAGATAGCTGGCTTCCCTGAGCAACTCCTCCTCGACATTCTCTGATGTCTTTACCAGGCTGTCTTTGGTAGCTTTAGCTTCCTTCAATGTAGTTTCCTCTAAAGGTTTTGTGCTTATATTCAAATCATGTGTAGTTTCTTCCATTTTATCTCCCAAGTAGCCTATGTTGACTGCACGGTGTTCGTAGAAAAGGTGATAGTTAAGAAGCTTTAGGAAGGACACAGAAAGTCGTTTGAACTATAGTTCGCTGGTTAGCCTGGCAGCGCCGATCGGCTAGATAATAAAGCTGAAGGCTTGAGTACCCGCCGATAGGCTGGACGACGCCGGAATATAGATGGTTACGCCGATCGGCTAAGAAACCACGTGTAAGAGACAAACGGCTTTGTTCTTCACCAGTTACCCTTGTTGCACCGTAGTTAGTAGCTTGTATTACTCAAAATTGTGTATACAGTTATGGTAGAGTTCTCTGTTAACGGTTTACAGTTGAGCCTGATCACAACGATACGATACAGGGCCCGCAATTAACACAGTCATGGCAGAGTACCCCAGTTTGCGTAACAGCGCAAAGATAGTTTATAAAAGTACAATAAATAGTTCGATGTATAGAGCTTGAGTTGTTGATTCCAGTGATTTAGCGCACATAAGAGACTACTCAATAGGAGCGAAGACCAGGACCACGTGGTTCCCGGAGAACAATAGTCTTTGTTCTGATCCCCGTAGAAAATGACTCCAATACTCCATATGAGAGCTCCGGATTGATATAAAGTTTGTTAAAGACACTTACGGTGTTTCCTGTTGACCCTCTGTACCAACGATGATCCTTAGTTTAACGTTCGGGGCCCGCAATAGGCCCGAAAGTCTTCTATGATGATCTCGTTTGTAATTCCTTTAAGAACGTCCTATACACAAAAACGCATATCATCTGAAAGTTCTCGTTGAGACGAATCCAGCGGTGTATATAAATCCATTCGTAACCCAAAAACGCCTCCGATGGAACGATCAATAGTAAGAGCACAAATACACACAGCCTTCTCAGATCGCGACCCTACCGGTAACCCTAATGGCCTTTATTAGAAAATATTGAAAAATTTGAATAAATATTGAAAATATTGAGAAAGATATTAAAGACACTTGCCATATGAAGAGCAATTTTATGGAGACCATAAAATTTCTCTTTGAAATAAAATATTGACAAAATTATTCAAGGCCAAAGCTTTTATTATGTTATTTTAAAAGTAAGCTTTAAATCAAAAAGTATACCTAGATCATTACATAAATATACATATTCAACAGAATTATTATTTACAGATAACTTTAAAAAAAAATTAGTACTACAAAGCAAAGATAAACACATTGCAACAGTCATCATCATCATTGTATAAAGACAACATAGCTTAAACAAATCATTAACAAACAAACTATTTTTCCAATATTGTCAGAATTTCCTAAGTTGATTTCTAAGCTTTGTTAGTAATGGAGAGAACACTTTTTAGAGTTCAAATTAATATTTCTGTAGGTTGAAAAAAATACTATTAGCAATGAGGAAAGTTTATAAATACCGATAACTTCTTGGGAAATAGGAAGCTTAGAATTTTATGAAAACAACCAATCAAGAGGACCTAAATTTCCAATTTATCTTAAACCATATGAGATGAGATATAAATGGTTTATTTAAATCAGATGGTATAGAAGCTATAACTAACAAAATAACTTTACAATAAGATTTAATTCCAATTATGGATAAGCAGTACACTCCTTTGTAAGTCAGATCTAGCAGAGCATTGTATCTAGTAGAAAAATTGATAATTTGCATAAAATGAAAAAGTAATGAATACCATCAATAAAATTTTTTCAGGAGAATCTAAATGAGAAAATGTATATATGTAATATTAAAATTAAAATCACCACATAAAACTTGTTTAAATTAAAAAAAAATTACTATAACTCAAAACATTAAAAATTTGAAAAGTAGAGAATCTTAATTTATATATATGCCCTTTATCTGTTACCACAAGATAAATACTAGGTATCTCAAAAGAAATGTTGTATCAACCCAAACAGTTCATAATCACTTGCATAAAGCAGAAGTGCATGCAAAGCATTCTGCTATACATATTTCATTACTACCTCATCATCATTTCATCATTTCCTCTAATGTCAAGCCAGACGTCATCGAATAATGGAATAATATAAAATGATGTTTACTGATAAAGCCATATTCCATTTAGGCAGACAAATGCTTATATGTGTGTGTGTGTGTGACACCACTGTAAACAATGCCATGTAGAAAGCTTTTCCATTAATTATCACACTGTGGCCCAATGAAGTGCGATCTCATACAGTAACCAAACACCTTTGGTACTGTACATTTCATGGAAACTCACAGCATAACAGTATGGCTCAGAAATCATTATGTCTATATTGTGAGCATACCTTATAGCCAGGGCATCAATGATATTGCAACAAGACAATGCTCAACCACAAAGTACACAACAGTACAAACAGTCTACAAGGCATTGATATCTTTCTGTGACTGCTGTACTCCCAAATTATCACCTATTAAACATGTGTGGGATGTCATGGGTTATCATCTGCAACAGCTTCTTACCCACATCTTAAACAACCCAATTCCAGCAATGTGGTCTGGAATGCAGTTCCTTAAAGTACTATCAACCATCTCATTGATAGCATGCCATGATGTCTACATGAAGTATAGCCATCCAATGTGGGCCTATCACAAAAATTCAGAGCTTTGTCATTTCCTGTATTTTTTGCATTTCCACATTTATACCTAACTTTGCAAATTATATTAGTACACATTCGTTGTTTCTTGCAATTTGTTTAGAGTAATGTACAGTACTGTACATACCAGTTTTTATTTTTTATAACAATATAGTAATCTAAATGTAAATTTTCTTTAGAATTTATTTTAAATGTAATTTTTAAAAATTATGTTGAGTGATCTATCATTTCATAGAATCAGTTTACAGTATACATTACAGAGCTTGCAGCCGAAGTTTTCATCTTTAAAACGTGAACATATTTAAACAACGTTCACATTTTAAAAATGAAAACTTTGGCTGCAACCTCTCTATTATGTTTTTTAATGATTAATTACTATCACAAAAATTGTAATTAAAAAAAAAACATAATTTACATCATTGCAGGTAATTTTGTGTTCTAACAAATCTAGTTGATGATTAGGTTAGACAGAAAAACAAAACAATAGAATGTAAAACTGATATCTTTTAATATAAATATTCACTATTACTTCCATTTAAAACTGATGTAAATTATTACAAGTATCCTAGTTATAAAAAAGAAAGTCAATTTTTTTTGGCTAATTTTAATTTAACTTTACTTAACAGATTTTCAAGAAAAGTATGAAAATGAGAATTAAGAAAAAAATTACAGTAGATCCCCCTATAACATTGTAGATAATTCCGTGTTATATGAATTACATGTTGTACGAGTCACTTAGATTTTACAAATACGTGTGCTGGGCTGTGAACGGCTTACGTATTTGTAAAATCTAAGTGACTCATAACAAGTAACAATGGAAGTGTTTTAAGTGTTTTAAGTAACAATGGAAGTGTTATGTAACAATGGTATTGTTAAGAGAAAGCGATGTGCAAGATTTACAGGCGCAGATGCAGTTCTTTCGTTTTTGTGGGAAATCGAACATATTTNCTGGACGGCGGAAAGTAGTTTGGCTGCCCGATGACGTTTTACCAAATTGTAGAAGTTTTTTTACCATGTTTATACGGACACTGTCGCAATTTTTTCGCCATCGTATAGGAATCCGAACTATAGGAACCTGTGTTATAGGGGGATCGACTGTATATCAAATTATTCAAACTTCAAGACACCATTAAAAATAAAAATTGCATTATAGTGAACATTTTTTTTAGTTAACTGTATAAGTTGGCGACTCACAGAAAGCCCGTCGCGACCCATAGGTTGGGAACCCGTGCTCTAAACAATTGACAAATCTTTGAAATTATACAAAACAATCTTTCAAAAATTCTTCAATTTGTAAGGATTACAGAGAAAAGAAAAATAATAGCCATAAAAGTTATTTATTTAATTTATTTTACTACAAAATCTTTATTTACAAACACACAATTATTGCTCTTGTCTTTCTGATACCAAATGATGCTTATGTCCATGTAAATGATTCATTATTTGGGTGTCAAAGTACCATTTATCTATAGCAGATTCTGGCTGAAAACATTCTAATTCTGGACCATTCATTTTCACCATTAGCACATCACTGAAATTTATATTATATACACTTTGTATTGATTTCATTTCACTCCAACCTCTCTTACAGGTAATTGATGCAGTAGGCAGGATAGCCACAATTGATAAGAGTTTGCTCAAAAAAGGAAACTTCTCACTCTGAGAACGAATTCTATCCACGAGTTCATCAAATCTTAAATTTTGTCCAACCATTTTGAACTCATGCCATTCATTTAATAACAGATTATTTACAGTTTCAACAGAGTCAATGCTTAGAATACTGTTGAAATGAGAACCCAAACACTTAATCTCTGCTTCACCAAAACGTTTCAAATTTTCATCATTTGGCCAAGTGAAAGTATCAAAAATACAACAGGCATTGGCAACTTCACAATTAATTATATCTAAAAATCTATTGTTTATGAATTTTATTCCTATTTGTATAAGTTCATTTCTGTCAGATTGAAATTTATCTTTATTGTCCAATTTATCTATTAAAGGAATATTTTTATAATTTCCTTTTGTTGATATATGTCTCATAAAATTTTCTTCCATAAAACCTGAACTTCTTCCTAATTTCTCTAATGAACATAGAACATTATTTACATGAATCCTTATCTGACTTGCTAATAAATATTTTTGAAATACATAAGATAACTCTTTAAAAATTGGAAGAAAGTCTAGAAGAAAATGAATTGTTAAAATAAATCTAAAATCTTTCAACACTTTCAAAATTTCTTTGATTTGATTGGATTCACTACAATTTTCATTTTCAATGGATTCCAAGTGAATCAGCCATGTTTCCCAATCTGCAAGCAAAGCTTTAAGGAATCCTGTTTTACATATAAGCCAATAATTATCAAAAATTTGAATTTTAAGAATTTTGGTTTGAAGCATTGGTGCTACAGTTTGGAGTGTTTTTAATCTTTTTGGACAACTCTGATAAAACTTTAAAATATTAATAATAGTACTGTTCATGAAGGAGATATAAGGCACTTCTTTTGCAGATTTCAATACTTGTACATGTAAATCATAACTTATACAAGGAATTGTAATCAAATGACTTTTCATATTTTTCATTGAATTAATTACAGTTACAGTTGAATTAGTTCCAACTCCTACTAACCAATGATTATTTCTCCAATTTAATCCTAATTTAAAGAATTCTTTATCTATTGCCTCTAAATAATCATCAGCTGATGTTTTTTGTAAAGGGATAGTTCCTAAAAACGATTCAACTACATTATTACTATTGAAATATTTGATATATAAAATAATTTCTTCAACTGCTGAATCTGTACAATCATCAATGAGTAGACTTACAAAATCAGAAAGTTTTATATTGTCAATTAAATTTTTCTTTATTGTTTGAGCAATATATGATGCAATTATTCTATATTCATCCTCATTTTCTTTCTGTTCATACATATTTGTTCTGAGTTTTTTTGCTAAACACAATAAATCTTTGACTTCTGAAAATGGCTTACCATTTTTCATAATATAGTACACAATATTAAATATTACAGTCATATGATGAAATGTTTCTTGATTTATTTTCTCAGTGCACTTAGTAGCAGGTTTTACAGTATCTTGTTTTAGTAGTGCTTCCAAACATTTTTGATGAAGACCAGACTTATCATGAAACTTGAAAGTTTCATGTTTAAATGGAGATCTGAAACCTTGGACAAGTTTTGAATTTCGTTTACATAAATTGGGAAACTTTGTACAAACATTGCATTTGGCTAAACCTATTTCAGTGTCAAATGATAACCAATTAAACTCTTGAAGCCAACTAATTTGAAATTTTCTCTTTCTTCCGTCTGTAATACCATTAGCTGATGATGTATTCATTGCCAAATATGCAAAAACTGTTTTTTCAAGCATTCTATCATCATCCAAAATTACCATCTATTAAATTCTTGAACAGTCAAATTCTGATCAAAACTATTGCATGAAATTTCTTTCACCAATGTCTGTTTATCTAGAAAGAAAAAGTATTTTCTAACATTAATGCCAAACAGCATTCAAATAATAAAATTCAACAATAAAACAATATACAAAATAATTTACATTTGGCCTGTATGAAAATTTTTGTAATTTTATATTTTTATATGTATTTTCTTTGATTGTATGAATCTTTATTGTTTTAGTTGGCTGATGAGGGACAGAACGAGCCCGAAACATGTAATATAATACATGTATCAACTAAATAAAGATGAAAAAATGCCAAGTGTTTAAATTTGTCAAACTTAGTGTTTGAACAACAAAAAATTTAAAATATTAAATAACTTTCACAATCTGAGCATGCATTAGCAATTGCAGTTCTTGTGAACTGTACCAATTACGTAAATTAAGTATAAAAATAAATAAATAAATAACTTATGATCTATCATTTTTATTTTATGACTAATTTCTTTTGTCCAGTAGTAGTAGTAATAAAAAAAAAATTATTGATATTAAAATTATTTTCTGTTTAATTTTGCTCAAAATGTTGTAACTTCTTACTGTAATTAAACATGATTTTGTCACAGTTGTTATTTCTCACAAATGTATGAATGGATAGATAATTGTTAGCCTGGAAAATCAGTTGCATAACACATCATCAGTCACATAATGTAAATCAACTAAATTCACAACTGGAATTTAAAATTGGCATATAATCTGCACACCCTTTCAAATTATCTTTCAAACACAGATAACATGCTGGTTATCCAAATGATATTAGGTATACAACTTATGATTTAGAAAATAAACCTTCTGTAATTCATTTTAGTCACTTTATGTAATAATTGAAGTGCAGCTATACTCTGAATTGATAAACAATACAGTAATACCTCGACTTACGTGATTTTCAAATCTCGTCGATTCGTCTTTTGTTTGAGCACCACGCAACCCTTGATTACTCACTCCCCCCACACTATTGTTCAGCTTATATGTTCAGATGTGTCGCGCGGAATCGACGCACAGCTACAATTTATTTTGTGTTATTTATTTCTGTGTTTGTTATATCTACGGAGACTTGAGAGACTCTATGTGGTGATTTCTTGTAACTGTAAACAAATCAAAAGACGATATAAAATTAATGAGAACATTTATTAGCTCACATACTTAGCTTATCCGACTTGGATTTTACACAAATTGGGAAATTATACCCCGACTTATGCGGTTATCACTCGGACCCACCTATCGCATAAGTTCGGGGTATTACTGTAGTCCACAACAGACTGAAAATTAGTGCTTTAATGGCCTTTATTTGTAATTTGTAAAAGAGGGTGAGAGAACTGTCGGTCTTTTAACTGACTGACTTAGCTCGTTTAGATAGGAAACGGAAAGAAGGTTCAAAGGTAAGATGATAAGCAGCAAGAGGAAGTTAGATAGATAGGAGAGAGGAAGGAAGTGACCATGGGTTCCATGGGCGCCCGAAACGCCTCAACACACTAAGTAAATCAAAATATGGTTACAAGGTCCAATAATAGCATGAAAACCATATAAACAAAATGGCGCGGCAATACAAACAGTATTCAGGGTTAATGTTTACAATTTATATAAGGTAATATCGAGCAATTAATTAATGTAAAACAGGGGAAGTTATATGTACTGTACATGGCATATACGATCAGGAACCGTCCTTGTTATCTTCGTCTGTTTCACTTTCCGATGTTTGGTGGATTGGACTATTGTCATTCGGTGTTTGTTGCTGTTTTTTGAGGTAGTCCGGTTTTAGTTCTTTTGTTTTCTTGACGAATGTTTGAAGGCTGCACCACAGTCGTTTGGTGGCAAAGATGTCTGCCAGCTGTGGTGGCCATGTTAGTCCACTTGTGATGGTGTCCCTAAAAAATTCTGCTCTATGCTGGTGGAATTTAGGGCAGTGGAACATAAAATGTTCGGCGTCTCCCTCACTTTTAAGTTCACAGTCACATTTATTGTCCGTGCGTTTTTTAAAGCGGTAAAGGTAAGACTGAAATTTCCCATGACCCGTTAGGCATTGGGTCATGTCTGGATCGGGTTCAAAGTGATGGGCTTTTTTCCTTGCCGTTAGAGTTGGTATAAATCTATGGCAGAGTCTTCCCGTCATGGAGTTGTCCCATTCAATCTGCCATAGGGTATTTGTGATTGAGTTTATTTTCTCCCAGATCATCGTCATCGGTATGCGTGAGTAGATGTGGGGGGAGTGGAGTACGCAAGCTTTTTGGCCAGCAGGTCCACTGTTTCGTTCCCTCCATAACCTTTGTGGGCCGGAATCCAGTTGAAGTGGATGATTCTATGCATAGCAAGAGAGTTTGTGGTGTTTATTAGTTCTCTTCCTAGTAGTGTGGGTCTCCTTTTGTTCTCAAGTGTGTGCAGCACTGCCCTACTGTCAGCGTAGATATTTATTATCTCTTTGTAATAATTGATGTTATGTGAGTTAGGGCCTTGTGCATTGCCCAAAGTTCAGCCTGCATAACACTGCAGTGTGGTGCCATCTTGAGGTGTGCTTGGAAGGTTTTCCGGCCATTTCGTGCAAATATGGCCACTTCCGCACCCACTCCTCTTTCCTGCTTAGACCCATCTGTGTAGACAGCCCAATCACTTGATGTGTTTTCTATTCCCTCAAACTGTAGGTCAACATTGTAGTGTGTTTCATCAGCTGGGTAGAAATGGTTCCTCTTGCTTTCGTAGTCATCTATCCTGTGGCATTTTATTTTGTCTATTAAATCATCACAATTAGCTGGAATTTTCTCCTCCTTCCTGTTATTGGCCNTGGCCACTCCCGCACCCACTCCCCTTTCCTGTTTAGACCCATCTGTGTAGACAGCCCAATCACTTGGTGTGTTTTCTATTCCCTCAAACTGTAGGTCAACATTGTAGTGTGTTTCGTCAGCTGGGTGGAAATAGTTCCTCCCGCTTTCGTAGTCATCTATCCCGTGGCATTTTATTTTGTCTATTAAATCATCACAATTAGCTGGAATTTTCTCCTCCTTCCTGTTATTGGCCTTTCCTTGATCTGTCCATTGTGTGATGTCTCCTTTGGAAAGGTACCACTTCCATGTGAGTGCCTTGGCTGTGAGGTGTATTGGCTGTATACCTGCGAGAACCAGTAGCGCGTCCGTGGGTGTCGTCCTGTAAGCTCTACACATTTGTAGGGCTGCTCTGCGCTGAATGGACATGAGTTTCCTCCTTCCATGTATGCTATTTAATGCTTCATGCCATACAGGTATTGCATAAAGCACAGCTGGCTCTATTGCTGCCTTGTAAATGATTTTGCAGTTCCGAAAATTTAGCCCCCACTCTTTGCCTGCTATCCATGTCAGGAAATTTATCTTCTGGTTAGTTTTCCTACATATTTCTTCAATGTGGCTTTGCCAGTTCAATTTTTGGTCAAAGTATATACCGAGGTACTTTAATTCCGTGACTGTTTTGATTTTCTTGCCATCGATGTGCACACCTATCGCTCTTTTTAGTTGCCCCCGCTTGTCTTTTCGTGTGCATGTCATTGATGCACACTTTGCACGATTTATCGGTAACTTGTGATTAATGCTCCATTCCTGTACTTTCTGCACTACCTTATTTGCCTCTTTGGCTAGGTGGTCACAGTTTTTATTGGCTATCATGATCAGCAGATCATCGGCGAAAGCTTGAATTTTTATGTCCGTGGATTGTTCTATTGTATACAGTAATCCATCGAAAACCAGGTTCCAGAGGCCCGGACCACATCGTGATCCTTGTGGGCAACCTCTGTGTACCGTACTGCTTACCGAGATATTGTTTGTGGTGAATTCCACCCGTCTGTCCGTAAGATAGCTCTTCACCAGGTTAGTAATGTTCCTTGGGCAGTCCACCTCCTTT